CTCTTGTTGCAGTCAGTGTAATCTAGTCACTGATTGGTCACAGCTCTCAGAAGTCTGCCTCTTGTTGCAGCCAGTGTAAACTAGTCACTGATTGGTCACAGCTCTCAGAAGTCTGCCTCTTGTTGCAGCCAGTGTAATCTAGTCACTGATTGGTCACAGCTCTCAGAAGTCTGCCTCTTGTTGCAGTCAGTGTAATCTAGTCACTGATTGGTCACAGCTCTCTTAAGTCTGCCTCTTGTTGCAGTCAGGGTAATCTTGTCACTGATTGGTCACAGCTCTCAGAAGTCTGACTCTTGTTGCAGCCAGTGTAATTTAGTCACTGATTGGTCAGACTTCTCAGAAGTCTGCCTCTTGTTGCAGCCAGTGTAATCTAGTCACTGATTGGTCACAGCTCTCAGAAGTCTGCCTCTTGTTGCAGTCAGTGTAATCTAGTCACTGATTGGTCACAGCTCTCAGAAGTTTGCCTCTTGTTGCAGTCAGTGTAATCTAGTCACTGATTGGTCACAGCTCTCAGAAGTCTGCCTCTTGTTGCAGTCAGTGTAATCTAGTCACTGATTGGTCACAGCTCTCAGAAGTCTGCCTCTTGTTGCAGTCAGTGTAATCTAGTCACTGATTGGTCACAGCTCTCAGAAGTCTGCCTCTTGTTGCAGTCAGTGTAATCTAGTCACTGATTGGTCACAGCTCTCAGAAGTCTGCCTCTTGTTGCACCCAGTGTAATCTAGTCACTGATTGGTCACAGCTCTCAGAAGTCTGCCTCTTGTTGCAGCCAGTGTAATCTAGTCACTGATTGGTCAGAGCTCTCAGAAGTCTGCCTCTTGTTGCAGCCAGTGTAATCTAGTCACTGATTGGTCAGAGCTCTCAGAAGTCTGCCTCTTGTTGCAGCCAGTGTAATCTAGTCACTGATTGGTCACAGCTCTCAGAAGTCTGCCTCTTGTTGCACCCAGTGTAATCTAGTCACTGATTGGTCACAGCTCTCAGAAGTCTGCCTCTTGTTGCAGCCAGTGTAATCTAGTCACTGATTGGTCACAGCTCTCAGAAGTCTGCCTCTTGTTGCAGTCAGTGTAATCTAGTCACTGATTGGTCACAGCTCTCAGAAGTCTGCCTCTTGTTGCAGTCAGTGTAATCTAGTCACTGATTGGTCACAGCTCTCAGAAGTCTGCCTCTTGTTGCAGTCAGTGTAATCTAGTCACTGATTGGTCACAGCTCTCAGAAGTCTGCCTCTTGTTGCAGTCAGTGTAATCTAGTCACTGATTGGTCACAGCTCTCAGAAGTCTGCCTCTTGTTGCAGCCAGTGTAATCTAGTCACTGATTGGTCACAGCTCTCAGAAGTCTGCCTCTTGTTGCAGTCAGTGTAATCTAGTCACTGATTGGTCACAGCTCTCAGAAGTCTGCCTCTTGTTGCAGTCAGTGTAATCTAGTCACTGATTGGTCACAGCTCTCAGAAGTCTGCCTCTTGTTGCAGTCAGTGTAATCTAGTCACTGATTGGTCACAGCTCTCAGAAGTCTGCCTCTTGTTGCAGCCAGAGTAATCTAGTCACTGATTGGTCACAGCTCTCAGAAGTCTGCCTCTTGTTGCAGTCAGTGTAATCTAGTCACTGATTGGTCACAGCTCTCAGAAGTCTGCCTCTTGTTGCAGTCAGTGTAATCTAGTCACTGATTGGTCAGAGCTCTCAGAAGTCTGCCTCTTGTTGCACCCAGTGTAATCTAGTCACTGATTGGTCAGAGCTCTCAGAAGTCTGCCTCTTGTTGCAGCCAGTGTAATCTAGTCACTGATTGGTCAGAGCTCTCAGAAGTCTGCCTCTTGTTGCAGCCAGTGTAATCTAGTCACTGATTGGTCACAGCTCTCAGAAGTCTGCCTCTTGTTGCAGCCAGTGTAATCTAGTCACTGATTGGTCACAGCTCTCAGAAGTCTGCCTCTTGTTGCAGCCAGTGTAATCTAGTCACTGATTGGTCACAGTTCTCAGAAGTCTGCATCTTGTTGCAGCCAGTGTAATCTAGTTACTGATTGGTCAGAGCTCTCTGAAGTCTGCCTCTTGTTGCAGCCATTGTAATCTAGTCACTGATTGGTCACAGCTCTCAGAAGTCTGCCTCTTGTTGCAGCCAGTGTAATCTAGTCACTGATTGGTCAGAGCTCTCGGAAGTCTGCCTCTTGTTGCAGCCAGTGTAATCTAGTCACTGATTGGTCACAGTTCTCAGAAGTCTGCCTCTTGTTGCAGCCAGTGTAATCTAGTCACTGATTGGTCACAGTTCTCAGAAGTCTGCCTCTTGTTGCAGCCAGTGTAATCTAGTTACTGATTGGTCAGAGCTCTCTGAAGTCTGCCTCTTGTTGCAGCCAGTGTAATTTAGTCACTGATTGGTCACAGCTCTCAGAAGTCTGCCTCTTGTTGCAGCCAGTGTAATCTAGTCACTGATTGGTCACAGTTCTCAGAAGTTTGCCTCTTGTTGCAGCCAGTGTAATCTAGTCACTGATTGGTCAGAGCTCTCAGAAGTCTGCCTCTTGTTGCAGCCAGTGTAATCTAGTCACTGATTGGTCAGAGCTCTCAGAAGTCTGCCTCTTGTTGCAGCCAGTGTAATCTAGTCACTGATTGGTCAGAGCTCTCGGAAGTCTGCCTCTTGTTGCAGCCAGTGTAATCTAGTCACTGATTGGTCACAGTTCTCAGAAGTCTGCCTCTTGTTGCAGCCAGTGTAATCTAGTCACTGATTGGTCACAGTTCTCAGAAGTCTGCCTCTTGTTGCAGCCAGTGTAATCTAGTAACTGATTGGTCAGAGCTCTCTGAAGTCTGCCTCTTGTTGCAGCCAGTGTAATTTAGTCACTGATTGGTCACAGCTCTCAGAAGTCTGCCTCTTGTTGCAGCCAGTGTAATCTAGTCACTGATTGGTCACAGTTCTCAGAAGTCTGCCTCTTGTTGTTGCAGCCAGTGTAATCTAGTCACTGATTGGTCACAGTTCTCAGAAGTCTGCCTCTTGTTGCAGCCAGTGTAATCTAGTTACTGATTGGTCAGAGCTCTCTGAAGTCTACCTCTTGTTGCAGCCATTGTAATCTAGTCACTGATTGGTCACAGCTCTCAGAAGTCTGCCTCTTGTTGCAGCCAGTGTAATGTAGTCACTGATTGGTCAGAGCTCTCGGAAGTCTGCCTCTTGTTGCAGCCAGTGTAATCTAGTCACTGATTGGTCACAGTTCTCAGAAGTCTGCCTCTTGTTGCAGCCAGTGTAATCTAGTCACTGATTGGTCACAGTTCTCAGAAGTCTGCCTCTTGTTGCAGCCAGTGTAATCTAGTTACTGATTGGTCAGAGCTCTCTGAAGTCTGCCTCTTGTTGCAGCCAGTGTAATTTAGTCACTGATTGGTCACAGCTCTCAGAAGTCTGCCTCTTGTTGCAGCCAGTGTAATCTAGTCACTGATTGGTCACAGTTCTCAGAAGTCTGCCTCTTGTTGCAGCCAGTGTAATCTAGTCACTGATTGGTCACAGTTCTCAGAAGTCTGCCTCTTGTTGCAGCCAGTGTAATCTAGTTACTGATTGGTCAGAGCTCTCTGAAGTCTGCCTCTTGTTGCAGCCATTGTAATCTAGTCACTGATTGGTCACAGCTCTCAGAAGTCTGCCTCTTGTTGCAGCCAGTGTAATCTAGTCACTGATTGGTCACAGTTCTCAGAAGTCTGCCTCTTGCTGCAGCCAGTGTAATCTAGTCACTGATTGGTCACAGTTCTCAGAAGTCTGCCTCTTGTTGCAGCCAGTGTAATCTAGTCACTGATTGGTCAGAGCTCTCAGAAGTCTGCCTCTTGTTGCAGCCAGTGTAATCTAGTCACTGATTGGTCAGAGCTCTCAGAAGTCTGCCTCTTGTTGCAGCCAGTGTAAACTAGTCACTGATTGGTCAGAGCTCTCAGAAGTCTGCCTCTTGTTGCAGTCAGTGTAATCTAGTCACTGATTGGTCACAGCTCTCAGAAGTCTGCCTCTTGTTGCAGCCAGTGTAATCTAGTCACTGATTGGTCAGAGCACTCAGAAGTCTGCCTCTTGTTGCAGTCAGTGTAATCTAGTCACTGATTGGTCAGAGCTCTCAGAAGTCTGCCTCATGTTGCAGCCAGTGTAATCTAGTCACTGATTGGTCAGAGCTCTCTGAAGTCTGCCTTTTGTTGCAGCCATTGTAATCTAGTCACTGATTGGTCAGAGCTCTCAGAAGTCTGCCTCTTGTTGCAGCCAGTGTAATCTAGTCACTGATTGGTCAGAGCTCTCAGAAGTCTGCCTCTTGTTGCAGCCAGTGTAATCTAGTCACTGATTGGTCAGAGCTCTCAGAAGTCTGCCTCTTGTTGCAGCCAGTGTAATCTAGTCACTGATTGGTCAGAGCTCTCAGAAGTCTGCCTCTTGTTGCAGCCAGGTTCTATGGGTGATGGAGGAACATGCTTGGAACTCTAAGAAGTACTTTTGATGTTCATACTGCTGTAATGATTGTGATAATGTGACAAGTATACACTATACCTGTGTTATAAGAAAAACATGTAATCATAAAGCATTCTCATTCTTAAGTAATTGAACAAAGATATCATATATAAGAATATAAAGTTTGTAGTATTGAAGATCATGGCAATTTTTGTTCAAAACATATACTATTTTTTCATTTGAAAAAACATTCAAAATATAGACCTCTATTGAGTATACATTTTACCAGTTCAAGAAGAACACACCGAAAAAATAAAGTGAGCTGCATTGTTTTCACTTCACACAGACTAGATGATATATAAAAATTATGTTTGGCAGGAGTGAGGCAATCGTTGGTAAATAGTCAGAAATACTTCAGCCAAATCTTTATGCACTGTGATCGAGTCTGGAGCTGAAAAACCAGCCCAGGAAAACAACCAACAGTTCCGTCCTTTAAGAATGGGAGGGGCATCAGGAATGATGACATGCAATTTAAGCCAGGTGACCAACCCCAGAATCACAGACAACCAATCCATCCCGCCTTTAAGAATGGGAGGGGCAGGATTCGGGCACTAAGTAGAAAGTTTGAGAACTTGTAATAACTTCATCTAAAGATGAAGAAAGCTAAGTGACAGCAGTTAATGGTTTTAAGCTTGTGTGACCTTGACCCTGGGTATGGCTTTCATTCGGATTCCGTTCTCGGCTCTCATCACTATGTCCTCCACTTTCCTCACCGTATGGTTCTTGTCCAACTCCAGGCGGAATCTAAATGTGGCACAGAACAGAATTATTTGACTCACTGGCAGGATGGTTAGAAACAGTAAACATAGGGCATTTAATGGGAAGGCAACTCTAGTCTGTATTCTATTGTGATGTGATAGGTAAAATACTTATACTATCAGGCAAGAGTGTTGTGAAGCAAGTCAGTGCTTTGAGATTGCCTGACTTTGGTTGGATTTGAACTGCAGTCATAGGCAGTGAATGGATCTATCTGAAATAGTTTTGTATGGGAATTAGAGTTATATGCCCTTGTTGTATACATGCACATGGTTGGGGGTATATTAGGTGAGGAGATAGGAAGTGTATTTTGAGAGTGAGTGGGGATGTATTTTCAGAGTTGGTTGGGGTGTAGTTTGAAAGTGGATGGGTGGAGGTGTACATGATTGGGTTTCCCCTTCCCGTTGATCAAGCACCAGTACTGACCTGTGTATCACCCTAGCAAGGGCAATCTTCAGCTCGTGCATGGCAAAGTTCTGTCCAATACAGTTCCTGAAACACACAACAATGTCAGCTCCAAGCTTGGGACACAAGCCACACATTTCATTCTCTAGCAAATAGTAAACAGTCCATAAGTTCCTTCTGACTACCATCCTTATTATTGGTGCTGACATGGCTAAGGCCATAATGAATTAATTTATCAGGCTCGTGAAAAAACCCAGACAGAGGACACTTTGCTCTTGTTGAAACAAACAGCTCAATAAGTGTACATTAACTGTTGTTGGATTTGTTTGCGAGTTTGCAGAAACACAAAATGTCAAACTGTTGCCATTACAATACTGAGAACAAACGGTTTAGCACTGACCATATCTTTGGTGCCAGTGAATAACAGAAGAATACTACAATCTTCTTCTGTGGAGTTGGGAAGCATATTTTTAAGCATATACCAGTATATAAGCAATGACATTCTGTTCTAGCTGGCAAAATCTGGTCTACCTTGGTCCAGCGGAGAAAGGTACAAAGCTGTAGGGGTCTCGACTTTCCACATTTTCAGGTGAAAACCTCTCTGGCTGGAACTCCTGAGAAAGACAATGTACAGTTTGATGACAACGTACAGGGGGACTATGGTTGGTATATGGTATATATCACATGTCTTCATACAACACAGGGTGTTTCGTCCATTATTCTTCAACATTGTTCTGTTGGTAACCATAGTAACTACCTGGCATGTGCTTGTGATGCAGTTGTTCAGTGCCAGTAACTCCAGCATGTTATTACATAGTGAAGTAAATGGAGGCTAGGCTACATTGCTATCTAAGCCTTTCCAGTTGAAATAGAGACTGTTTGTACATTGCTGTACAACACAAGTATCAAGCAAGTGATGAACAGAATACAGATTGAGAGGCATATATATGCAGTCCTAATTCCTATTGTACCGTATAAACACTTTCCCAAACTTGTATATATTCTTTATTCTGTGCATCACTCCCTTGATAACAGAGTTAGAACCTACACCTAAACGTCGCTATCACTGTAATAAACAAGTTGTTTATTCTTTATTGTTGTCCGTCCTTACTGCTCCAATTTCTAAATGCCTAACAAAGAAGCCATGTTGTGTACGGTGCTAAGTGACCACCCTTTGGCTGCTTGCGGAACCCTGCGTTCTTAGCTTTGCCTTGGGCTTTATTCTCATAGCTCCCACCTGGAAGTTCGCAAGCTGTACATACCACTATCGCTATATTCCCATAGCTCCCACGTGGAAGTTCGCAAGCTGTACATACCACCATCGTTTTATTCCCATAGCTCCCACGTGGAAGTTCGCAAGCTGTACATACCACCATCGCTTCATTCCCATAGCTCCCACGTGGAAGTTCGCAAGCTGTACATACCACCATCGCTATATTCCCATAGCTCCCACGTGGAAGTTCGCAAGCTGTACACACCACCATCGCTATATTCCCATAGCTCCCATCGGGAAGTTTGCAAGCTGTACATACCACCATCGCTTTATTCCCATAGCTCCCACGTGGAAGTTCGCAAGCTGTACATACCACCATCGCTTTATTCCCATAGCTCCCACGTGGAAGTTAGCAAGCTGTACATACCACCATCGCTTTATTCCCATAGCTCCCACGTGGAAGTACGCAAGCTGTACATACCACCATCGCTATATTCCCATAGTTCCCAGGTGGAAGTTCGCAAGCTGCACATACCACCATCGCTTTATTCCCATAGCTCCCACGTGGAAGTTCGCAAGCTGTACATACCACCATCGCTATATTCCCATAGCTCCCACGTGGAAGTTCGCAAGCTGTACATACCACCATCGCTTTATTCCCATAGCTCCCACGTGGAAGTTCGCAAGCTGTACATACCACCATCGCTATATTCCCATAGCTCCCACGTGCAAGTTCGCAAGCTGTACATACCACCATCGCTTTATTCCCATAGCTCCCACGTGGAAGTTCGCAAGCTGTACATACCACTATCGCTATATTCCCATAGCTCTCACGTGCAAGTTCGCAAGCTGTACATACCACCATCGCTATATTCCCATAGCTCCCACGCGTGAAGTTCGCAAAGCTGTACATACCACCATCGCTTTATTCCCATAGCTCCCACGTGGAAGTTCGCAAACTGTACATACCACCATCGCTATATTTCCATAGCTCCCACGTGGAAGTTCGCAAGTTGTACATACCACCATCGCTATATTCCCATAGCTCCCACGTGGAAGTTCGCAAGCTGTACATACCACCATCGCTTTATTCCCATAGCTCCCACGTGGAAGTTCTTAAGCTGTACATACCACCATCGCTATATTCCCATAGCTCCCACGTGGAAGTTCGCAAGCTGTACATACCACCATCGCTTTATTCCCATAGCTCCCACGTGGAAGTTCGCAAACTGTACATACCACCATCGCTATATTTCCATAGCTCCCACGTGGAAGTTCGCAAGTTGTACATACCATCATCGCTATATTCCCATAGCTCCCACGTGCAAGTTCGCAAGCTGTACATACCACCATCGCTTTATTCCCATAGCTCCCACGTGGAAGTTCGCAAGCTGTACATACCACCATCGCTTTATTCCCATAGCTCCCACGTGGAAGTTCGCAAGCTGTACATACCACCATCGCTTTATTCCCATAGCTCCCATGTGGAAGTTCGCAAGCTGTACATACCACCATCGCTTTATTCCCATAGCTCCCATGTGGAAGTTCGCAAGCTGTACATACCACCATCGCTATCAATAATCTCTATATCATGACTCTAACTAAACATACACACCAACGAGTTGGGCCAGATGATGGGGTTGTGGTGCAAGTTGTAGATAACCACACTGACTATAGTCCCCTTGGGAACTTCCTGGCCATCCACAAGTAGGTGCTGGGTTATCTCCCTTTGTATGAAGGGCACTGGCGTGTGAAGTCGGAGACTCTCCTTCAGACACATGGTGAGGTAGGGCAGGTGTGGAAGATCCTCCCTAGAACACAACACAGACATGTTGCACAGACAACCTGCCTCCTAGTAAACACCGGAAAGAGAGAAATTCAGTCCACTGTGATTCTGAAGCGTTGGGAAATACCACAGATTTTAAATCAGTATGTCAAAAGTACGACAAATTACATCAAACAAAAAGGGAAGTAACTGTCTGGTAAGGGACCAACCATTGTGACGTTGGGGGATGGGTGGTGAAGGGATTTCACCAAATTGTGGAACTGTCAGATGAAATTCAAGAAAAATATAACTATATCTCTGATTGTTGAAAGAAAAGAAAATGTTCTGCCACAAAAAATCTATTGTTGCAAGATGGTTTGAAAGCATAATATATTTAGGCTCAAACAGTAATTTAGAAAAATGTCTAGTTTTTCAGGTAAGGCTGAAATTATATTCAGTCCCCATAAAAATCACCACGTACATCTCAATATCGGTGTTCTGCTTGCGGGACATGAGGTCATCGACCTCTCTGTATACAGCTTCCTGGCACTTCTGGTGTTCCGCAAGTGAGTACAGAGTCCAGGAGAGGGCGCTAGCGGTGGTGTCGTGACCTGAGAATATACAGCATGTACAATGATTGGAAGTTACTTACACACTGATCCAGCAAAGAGCAGTTTAAATACCACAATGCCTCAAACAAATATTCATTATGTTGTTACTGACGAAGACTAGATGTCTTATGCATTGTGAAACCGATGATATGCAAGTGATCAACAGTACACCAAGGTCATAATCATCCTCAGCTTCAAGAGATTGTTGTCGAGGGACCAAATCAATTGTTGACAGAAATGTGATATGACGTCATCCATTGTTGAGGATGACACAGACTGATTACATGACGTCATTAAAACAACATTGTGTGCACACAAGTATGATGATGATAAATGCCACACAACACAACAGAAATACTTCAAAAAGGGAATGTAACTTTTGTCCAAGCTGGAAAATGTCATCATGCGGTTGAGACTTCCTCTTCCATGTGCGCATGTGCAAAATCGAAGTTGCAGGCTCCTAGTTTTAGCGATTTAAAGTTGCCGTTTTTACTGTTTCAGTAGCAAGGTAGTATGTTTATGTTGCTATTTCCACGATTAATAAGGACTTTTCCGCGTTTTTTCTGCACAGTGGGAAAGTTTTGTTTGGTAGGCCTGCTTAAAGGTCACATGCAACCAAAAAATCAAACATAATTAAAACACAATTATCACTTCTTCATGACATATAATATGCATTGCTGATTATGAAAAAACAAATAAACAATATTATAAGCGTATAATCGCAAATCAAAAGTGCAATATTTTGTATTTGGGTTTACCTCCCTCGAAACGAAGCAGCCGGGATACCGAACCCAGTCAGAGCGGGTGGGTGTGCACTCAAGTGTAACGGCTGGTTCATTAGCAGATGCCGCCTTCACGGGTCATTGTGTGTATATATAGAAAGTTGGGTTTTGTAAATACATGCTCATTTTTGTGTATAACATTTTGCAATCAACAGACATCATAACATGTCATGTGTTCAAGTATCACACCTGCCTGTCTGTGTAATTACATAATGTGACAGAGACCGAACTCGGGCCATAAATCAATGCATTTTGTTTATGGTGTATAGCCTGATTGGTGTTAAGTTCAAATTGCATGTGGTCAGTGATCGCAGTTGTGTATTGAATATTGTCATTAGCAGACAGGCAGGCAGACACACTGGTGTCAATAAAACAAGACATTGAGTTTTGTCTGTGACAGCGACATATCTATATCACAGTTAGAAATCGTGTCAACTCTAAATAATGCTTTTAAGTATCGAACTGAGAAAGTGACTCGGTAAGAAGAACGTGTGGTGAAATAGACAAATGAAATTATATAAACAGTTTATTTACTGTCATAACATACAAAAAGCTCGCGCCTGTGAGATATCAACAAAACATTAGGAAACTAGCTCACACCAAAGCCTTCACAGAGTATTCACCAGACAGCCCGCTTCCAAGTTGCGCGAACCTATTTCACCGCGCACGTGCTATGAGCGCAGCCAGCTGTTGAATTAGTGAAACGTTTGAACTCCTATTTCGCGCGTTTTTTTTCATCGCGTTATTTTTCAACTTTATAAGTTGAATTTGCATTTTTGACGCTTTGTTTCGGTAAGTCCATACCGAAAGGTATCAGAATCTGCAAAGTTGTGTTTTACATTGCATGTGACCTTTAAGTGAAGTTTCTCTGTAGGGTTGACATTTCACACTTTTTTCTCAGCAACCTTCTTCTAAGTAGGAAATATATTTATCTGTCCCATGTGAATGGATGTCCCTCTCCTGAAGCTTGGAATTAATGCCATTCATTTGCTCAGTACAGATACTCTATAATTCTACATGTCATTGTTTTTGTGGTTGTTCCCTTAATCAAGACAGGTATCATATTGCCATATCTACATGTCATTGTTTTTGTGGTTGTTCCCTTAATCAAGACAGGTATCATATTGCCATATCTACATGTCATTGTTTTTGTGGTTGTTCCCTTAATCAGGACAGGTATCATATTGCCAAGCTGTCACCTTCAAACAGGAATGTGTCTGTCTCATCTCGGATCTCCTGCGGGGTCAGCCCCTCCCCATCATCGTCTCTGGCGGTCAGCAGGATGTCCAGGAAGTCCATACAGCGCCGTCTCTTAACCAGATCCTGCTCCACTGAGTGGGACAGCTGACAAGGATGTATCTAGTTAGGGCATGTATCTACTCAAGGCATGTATCTAGTCAAGGCATGTATCTAGTCAAGGCATGTATCTAGTTAAGGCATGTATCTAGTCTAGGTATGTATCTAGTCTAGGTGTGTATCTACTTAGGGCATGTATCTAGTCAAGGTATGTATTTAGTCTAGGCATGTATCTAGTCAAGGTATGTATCTAGTCAGGGGATGTATCTAGTCTAGGCATGTATCTAGTCAAGGAATGTGTCTAATAAAGGCATGTATCTAGTCTAGGCATGTATCTAATCAAGGCATGTATCTAGTCTAGGCATGTGTCTAGTCTAGGCATGTATCTAGTCAAGGCATGTATCTAGTCTAGGCATGTATTTATTCTAGGCATGTATCTAGTCTAGACATGTGTCTAGTCTAGGCATGTATCTAGTCAAGGCATGTATCTAGTCTAGGCATGTATCTAGTGTAGGCATGTATCTAGTCTAGGCATGTATCTAGTGTAGGCATGTATCTAGTCAGGGCATGTATCTAGTCTAGGCATGTGTCTAGTCAAGGCATGTATCTAGTCAAGGCATGTATCTAGTCTAGGCATGTATTTATTCTAGGCATGTACCTAGTCTAGACATGTATCTATTCTTGGCATGTGTCTAGTCTAGACATGTATCTAATCAAGGCATGTATCTAGTCTAGGCATGTATCTAGTCTAGGCATGTATCTAATCAAGGCATGTATCTAGTCAAGGCATGTATCTAGTCTAGGCATGTATCTAGTGTAGGCATGTATCTAGTCAGGGCATGTATCTTGTGTAGGCATGTATCTAGTCTAGGCATGTATCTAGTCAGGGCATGTATCTAATCAAGGCATGTATCTAGTAAGGGCATGTATGACTCAAGGCATGTATCTAGTCTAGGCATGTGTCTAGTCAAAGCATGTTTCTAATCTAGACATGTGCCTAGTCTAGGCATGTATCTAGTCAAGACATGCATCTAGCCAAGGGATGCCAGATACTCAACATCTAATGTAGAAGAAAGTATTCTTGTTTTCCTATCTGTTTCTAAAGATACCTACACATTGCAAGTTTTCCCGCACCGTAATATGTTATGTAACAAGATGAGTTAGTAGTCAGTCGGTAAATGTAGTTCCAACTGAAGCTTGTTTTTCAATGGCTTCACTGTTAAACCACTTCAACATGATGCCATTGACATAAAAATATTCAAATACATTGACATATACTTTCCGAGTATAATAATGAAAGGCTGTGCTGTAAATCAAGCAGACAAATGTGAAGTACCAAAGCTCTTCTTCTGTTCTCTATAATGTCCTCTGCCACAGTGTGGACCAGATCACAACACTTCCGGAACTGGCGTCCGCTCGGTGTCAGCATGTAAACCCACTTGTTGTGCAGCCACGGCTTGCTGAAACACCACCAGAAGACAATCTACACATGGCTTGCTGAAACACCACCAGAAGACAATCTACACACGGCTTGCTGAAACACCACCAGAAGACAATCTACACACGGCTTGCTGAAACACCACCAGAAGACAATCTACACACGGCTTGCTGAAACACCACCAGAAGACAATCTACACACGGCTTGCTGAAACACCACCAGAAGACAATCTACACATGGCTTGCTGAAACACCACCAGAAGACAATCTACACACGCTTGCTGAAACACCACCACCAGAAACACACCAAAGACAATCTACACGGCTTGCTGAAACACCACCAGAAGACAATCTACACACGGCTTGCTGAAACACCACCAGAAGACAATCTACACGGGCTTGCTGAAACACCACCAGAAGACAACACACCACCAGAAGACAATCTACACATGGCTTGCTGAAACACCACCAGAAGACAATCTACACATGGCTTGCTGAAACACCACCAGAAGACAATCTACACATGGCTTGCTGAAACACCACCAGAAGACAATCTACACATGGCTTGCTGAAACACCACCAGAAGACAATCTACACATGGCTTGCTGAAACAGTCCAGAAGACAATCTACACACGGCTTGCTGAAACAGTCCAGAAGTTAATTTACACACGACTTGCTGAAACACATACATATGCATGGATTGGATTAAAGAAGTCCAATCTCATTTTGTTTGTTCATGACTTCAGTTAGTTCCAACAATGGGTTAGAATTGGTCTTCTGAAACCCATGCTTGTCCTAAGAGACATCTAACAGGATCGGGTGGTCAGGCTCGCTGACTTGGTTGACACATGTCATCGTATCCCATTTGCGTAAAACTAAATTCACTCAATCACATTGCCTCTTAAATAAGCCTCTTCTAATAAAAACATAATTGTGTAAAAAGCAACTTGTATTTGCTCCTCTTATAACATTTTCCCCTGATTATAGTACTTGTCTTGTCATCACTTATCATAACTTTTCAAAGTAACATTAAACTCACACCCTCGCTGCAATGCATGATAATCAGTTTCACCAAACTGTTGACTGTTAATGTACAACAATGCACACACTTTGTTGAATACAAAAGATGAAAATATAATGTCTCACACCTCGTGTTCTTTACACAATGAACATACATAAGGTACACAGGAAAATGTCACTCACAAGAATCTGTCTGTGGCCAGGTGAGAGAGTGTGTTAACTGCATTCACATAGGGATGATTTGTTCTGAAGTGGAAAATCAAGCATTACAACTATTTCTGGGAAATAAGTATCATAATTATTTTAGTAGATATTTTAATACTAGACACTATACTTTTGATCAAACATGTTGAAAGTTGAAGTACATGGATAGTAGTCTGAGTACTGACTCTATACCATGGGTACATAATACAGATGTTGAACCTCCCAACACAATATCATAGTAGAATATATTCCAATCTTGAAGTTTAAGGGATTTATGGTGATTTGACTGGGTTATAAGGACCTGTTCATTTTTCAACAAACTTCAAAATGAGGATAAGGTAAAAAATTGTGTAACTGTCAAAAGTTGACACTATTTAAACGCGGTAATAATAATCAGATTCTGATTACAGTGTCCAGTGAGCAACTAGTCAGATGGATACTAGGCGCTATATAAATGAATTATTATTACTAAAAATTACATCTGTACATCAAAGACTCTCACCCGATGTTGTAAACAGCCAAGACTCTCACCCGATGTTGTAAACAGCCAAGACTCTCACCCGATGTTGTAAACAGCCAAGACACTCACCCGATGTTGTAAACAGCCAAGACTCTCACCCGATGTTGTAAACAGCCAAGACACTCACCCGATGTTCTAAACATCCAAGACACTCACCCGATGTTGTAAACATCCAAGACTCTGATCCGATGTTCTAAACATCCAAGACAACCATCCGATGTTCTAAACATCCAAGACTCTCATCCGATGTTCTAAACATCGAAGACTCTCACCCAATGTTCTAAACATCCAAGACACTCACCCGATGTTCTAAACATCCAAGACACTCACCCGATGTTCTAAACATCCAAGACCCTAACCGGATGTTCTAAACATCCAAGACACTCACCCGATGTTCTAAACCTCCAAGACACTCATCCGATGTTCTAAACATCCAAGACACTCACCCGATGTTCTAAACATCCAAGACACTCATCCGATGTTCTAAACATCCAAGACACTCACCCGATGTTCTGGCAGTCTGTGTCATAAGAGAAGGCACATTTCAAGATGACATCCAGCGTGAACAGACTGACCTCTGTGAATACTTCAAAATACTTGTCCTGCTGCGAGAACCTGCCCATCTTACTCTGTACAACAGATGATGGCTCTGTTAGTGTTCACTGTGACAAGTGTAAAAGTGTTTAAAAACAATGTACGAAAATCTTAAATCACTGATCCAGATCATATTCTTCCAAAATGAGAATGCCCAGAATCTTCAATGGACAGTGAGTGAGTTATGTTGCAATGAACTTGTGTTGCTGAAGCAAAAGTAGCCTAGTGGTTAAAGTGTTTGCTTGTCATGCTAGAAACCTGGGTTTGATTCCCCATATGGGTACAACATGTGAAACCCACTCCTAGTGTCTCCTTCCATGATATTGCTGGAATATTGCTAAAGGCTGCATAAAACCTCACTCACTCACTCACTCACCAACTCCTTGTTCCATGTTGCCATCCATGTGGGACTGTGGGAAATAAGTTGATCCCAGAGAAACATACGATGGCATTTAACAGAGAGATTAGTCGTTGTGACTTGGTTGATTGAAAGTCATCTTCATTCAAATCATTGGACGCAAACAGAATCCTCACAGGATTGTCTGCCCTTTATTGAATATTTACACCCGCTGCCATACAGCTGGTGTTTTGCAGAGCGCAGTAGTAAACAAGAAAACAAGTTTAGTACCAGAAGGATGTCTACAGCTCTGTTTTTGACAGTGATGTAAGGTCTGAGGACGTCAAAGTGGAAGGCTGGCGTCAACATGCGTCTATTTCTTGCCCACTTGTTTCCCTTGCTCAGCAGCAAACCGTCGCCAACCCATGGACGAATCAGGTTGTAGATCTGTGCAGCTTTTGGCTCTGAAATATTTATGCAAGACAAAGTCAGGAATCTGCTTTGTTCATGATCATCTACCTTTTATCAGAGACTTCTTATCAAACCCAATTTGTAGATGTTGACTCTGAAGTTAGAACTTTCACTTTTCAAAAATTGTGGTTAACATAAAAAATTCAGACACAATTGCAACACAATATTTTTTGGGATAAATCGACAGCATTGTTAGGAGGATAAACATGGTTAAGAAATAACATAAATGACTAGTATAAAAAAACACTGAAGCTAAATCTAAATAAGCGATGGAAAACATTGTACATATATAGATTTTATTTGCTTAAATGGGCTAAAATTATGTATAATTGTATAAAAAACATTGCTGCTGATTACTGGTATATATAGATGGGATGTCTAAGCATTGTGATACTTGCAATGAATATTGCAAAAATCAGCATTTGAACCTGCCAAATTGATGAGTTTGAATATGAAGAGTTTAATCGGAAAATCATGATCTAATGTAGGTTCGATATCTGCTGGTTATGTCACTGTAAGATGACATAATGATGTTGATTTTGTGTATTGTCCTTCACAAGCTCGGTCTGACTGCAAATCTAGTTAAAACATAGATCTCTTATTCTATCCTACAATAGCACAGCCTGTCATGACTAAGGGACACAACTCTGCAAAGTGAAATCCAGCTCTTCAGAAACCTTCTGGAGTTACATGACTATATATAAAAGTACACATGGAAAATGAACTTTCAAAGTCAGTTACCCCACCCCCTTGCCTCAGTCAGATGAGTTCTTGTTTGGCAGATGTAGGTGTGTGTTCGATGGTTCGATGGTGTGTGTTGCTCAAAATACTATGTCTCAAAATATAAACCTTGACTTGGTACATAGAAGGAAATAACCAACCTGATGTTTTCAAGATGGATTTCACCGTATCCGGATGATTGACGACTAGCATGGAAAGAAACGGACCAATCCATGCCAACGAACAAAATGGGAACTCTGTCGTCATTTGCCCGCTGGAACTTCAAGCCCTCCTCATTAGGTCCAGGGAACTGGAAACAAGGCTTTAGGATAAAACACTTCAAGTGTATCATCAAATAAATACTGCAGTTGGGCAATGTGCTGATATATATAATTAAGGTGCTAACTGACCGACTTCAAGACCATTCTGTAGGTACGTACTGTATCACCCATATTGAAGTGCCCACTGACTAAATTCTAGACCTGATTTTAAACACTGTATATACCATCACAGACAGGTGCCAGTCAAACGTCCCAGCTAAAATATATGAGGATTATAATGTCCCAGTTGACAAAATCTATGCATTTAAGGCCAATAAACATATTATACAAACATTTTATTTTATTGTTGTAATTCTTTATAAAAAAACATTAATAACATGCAAATACTAGTCATTGGTATTACAGTGTTGTCTACACAGGAATATTACGTTTGCTCTTATTAGTTTACTAATGAAACATTTATCAGATAGTACTATCTATTATTATATGAAGAATATGGCTGGCATAATAAAAAATAGGCAGTATAAATGATTTGTACATAGTTTCCAGAGTCTTTCTATTGAGGTGACACTTAAAACTTCTCAGACAGTTTATCATGGGGCCAACTTTCTTTGAAATGGTTTCTATATGACTATGACAGAGGCCGTCTCGTTGAAAATGTTATTCCTAGGTGTTTAAGGACTGGCACCTCCGCAATGACAGAGTTATTCATTAGCAATTCTGGAACATTTATCAGAAATATTACTAAATAATATTATATGAGGAATATGATATCGAAGTTGACAAAAACTATGCATCTAAGGCCTTTAAAATACATTGGGGCATTTGACTATAGCTAAGATACATAGCGTTCACTGACATGTCAGTGAACGCCATGTATCTTAGCTAATTTGACTGGGGCAATATGACCAAACTTGGGGCAATTTTAACAAAAATCCGGGGCATTTTGACCAAATTTGCTGGGGCATTTTGTAACTGGGGCGATTTGACTGGCACCCTCACTGACTAGAGATTATGATATCCTAGATTACTCTGCCTCAGTGCATGATTCATATTCGAACTCTGAAATGAATGACTTGATTCAATCTTTCATCAGAACTGAATAAATGAAAAACGATAATAAACATAAATTAGTCAGCCTAAATATTTAACCTTTCTGTGTATCAATCCATTAAATTAAACTTCTTGATTATGAGTAAAAAATGTCCAATTACACGGCCCAGATGCCCCCATATCGGATTTTTCTCATCCTGTGGAAACTTGTTGACAGCTGCGGCGTGTCTCCTGAAGCGGAGAATACTCTGTGTCAACTTGATGGCAGCGTAGATGATGGTGACGAGGAAGCCGATCGAAACTGTTACTGAGAGGAACACTGACATCGTCGGCGCTTTCGGTGTTTTCAAAAGTAATTTAGCTATGTCAACATCCTCGGACTTTGAACAATCTGATTAAGTGTCTAATCGTAAACATTTCGGGTCGTCTGCTAATACTTCCGGGTTATGTTTGAGTAGATTATCTTCAAAACATATGTTGAATAGGCGTTCTAAAACATTTAATATTATTATGGCTGACGATAATTACGATTAAATCTTTGGTTGACATATGATATCAGTGCTATGCATGATTTCACTATATAGAAAAAATATTTTTAGCTGGAAAACATTTAGACTGAATTAATATATATAGAAACAGTTGTACAGATAGTTGTTTACAAATAATGATTTTTACCCAATCAAAATTAGGGAACGTATTCATTCCGAGTGACAGGTGCTCGGAAATCACTTGTCTGGTGGAGAAAGTTTGAGTCAAGTAAATCTGTTTCTGTCATTTGGTACAGATCTGTCAAGCCAAAAACTGAATCAAAATGGCAATAGCCAGGCCACCAGGAATGGAATTCGATCATAACTGGCCTGAAAGTACAGAGTGCCTGACACTAGATTTTGGACCATTTGAAACTGTTCACAGATGGAAACAAATGCCAGAGTGTGATGAATTTGTTGGTGCCAGGTAAGTTAGCAGACCGATACTAGAACAGTTCTGTGCATATTTTCAGTGATTGCCTTCGTTTGATCAGGAAATACTGGTCCCAAAATACCGTATGCAACCTTGAGTGATATGAATAATATTTTTATAGCTTGAGACGTGTCTGTTTCAGCTTATTTTGATTATTTCTAATTTTCTTTTAACATTTTAATGTACAAATTAACCTAATTAGTTTGACCCAAAGTTCTTAATATAACTGAATGCTTCACAGGATTAGTGGGTAGCAGTTTGAACTTTATTAAAAAAACTGCGTCCAACATGCAAGATAAGACAGTTCAAATCTACAAACAGCAAAAGCTTCATAATGCCGAGTGATTCATCATTCAATCCGCATGATCAGTGACCATTTCAGTTGGGTTGAATTGGACACACTAAGGCTAAATTGCCAACACATTTGTTGTCTCATAAACAGCACTAGTCAAGTTAATTTATTAATGGGTGGCAGCTTGTAGCAGCATGAACAATACTTTCTAAAATTGTCTATAAGCTTTTACCTTATTTGTGACTTAAGCCAGGGATGGATAATTCAGAGGTTTGAAAGTCAAGCATTTGCATGGTTACTGGTAATTCCAGTGTACTTTTCTTTGAACAGGAGAAGCAAGCATACAGTTGTTGCCTACAAGGAAGCTCTCTATGTCTTTGGAGGAGACAATGGGTAAGACACCATCATGGAAAGAAAATGTATCCACATTCCTGAAACATGTGTCATATCTGCAATATTAAATTTTCACTTTCTAAAAATATTCCCTCGAAGATCAAATTCCCACTAACTTCAATATCCAACGAATGGACCGCCTCCCGACCGCGTCATACCAAAAGACGTTAAAATATGGTACTTGTTGGTCCCTGCCTGGCGCTCGGCATTAATGGGTACAACAAGGACTGGTCTGCTCGGAGTCAGTATAATGTGTCTGAGTGGGGTATTCATGCTTCACTGCGGTGTGGTATCTCACTGGGCTAGCACTATAAAACCAGCTTAAGTCTGGGCTAGTACAAGCAGCCGCACATACACACGCATGCACGTCGTCATATGAGCGAAATATTCTCAAGCACAACGTTAAACCCACTTTCACCTCACCTCCAACGAATGTTGTGAGATCAAGATGAATATAGTGGTTAGGATTGGAAGTGTATGGCGTCAGATGTTGCTTGTAACATGGAACAATGACATCAATCAGTTGAGCCACAATAGTCACACTGTGCTCATAAGAAGATATTAGAAAGTTCTTTGTTTTCTCTCCAAATTCACCATGTTCACACTGCCTTTACTTTACTTGATGTTAAAACTTACACATGTTACAAAATTTGTTTGCTTTTCACTGCAGGAAAAATATGCTGAATGATCTGCTCAGATTTGATGTGAAGGATAAATCCTGGGGAAGGTTGGTATTAAATATAACGTCAGCCTTAGTTTATTCAGGTGAGGGACCTGGAAAGGTCTGGGCTAGATTTGGCACTGAGTAAGTAACCCATACTGGTCATAACCAGGTGATAACAGGTGACTCACGGGACTGAGTGCTCAGACTTGCTGAGTTGGCAGAAGCATGTTATCCCAGTTGTGCAGAATGATGATCATTATGTCTGTCACAGAATTGTCTGGCCCGCTCTCAATTTATTAACAGACTGCTGTCATATATTGTTGAGTGTGGAATTAGAATCAAGCAAATCAAATTATTCAATTCGCTGCAGACATATTTTTGAAGTTATTGATAATTCGAATGGAGATGGTGATGTCACATCCATAACGAAAATGAGATCATGAAAAGGTCCAGGGTACTAATAACAGAATGGGTATACAATCCAATGGATTTTCAAGGATGTATTAGAATTTGCACAAAAACAACCCCTGGAAAGCCACTCTTATTTAGTGTCTGGATAGTAGTCTTTCACCATATCATCTAAGACATGGCGAGGGCCGGTGGGGTAGACTAGTGATTCATTCTAAAAGTGGCATAAAATCATATTCACTCTCCACGAAGACTTGGTAACAAATATTAATTCAGACACATGAGTGTTATATAATGAGATTTTATTTTTAGTCACTTTGTGAATATTTTGCGAGCGCTTCAGTAAACATAATATAACTAAGCTTGATTAGCAAATTAGGTAGGTAATGTTTCCGATGTAAGGACTTTCTGCTGTATGTATAAATAGACCCTCATTATTCTATTTTATGATGTAATCTAACGTCATTATATTTTGTTATATTTACATCAGTCAGCAGACAACCACTGTCACAATGATAATTAGTCTCATTTTAGTCTCATTTTTGTTTAGAAATAGTTTCTGTGTGTGCAGGAAATGATGACGTAATGAGTGATGTGTAGAAAATGATGACGTTCTGAGATGATGTGTAAAACGATGGCGGTCGAAATAAACTCAGAAGAACCAAGATCAAAGAATATATCTGTTTTATTTTGAAGAAGAAGAAGTATGAAACGATCCCAGTACCCACGTAACTTCGTAAGGCTGTGCTACGTGTACATATCTTTCCCTATATGAGAAAATCTCAACACATCATGTTTTCTTCCAGGGCTTTCACTACCGGCAAGCCTCCAGCCCCACGGTACCACCACTCAGCTGTTGTACATGAGAGCAGCATGTTTGTGTTTGGTGAGTACATTTAGGACACTAGGAGAGTTTCCAGTTTCTAGTATTAGCATAACATAGTCCAGATCGGAAGGGTTTCCAGTGTAACACACACCAGTTAAGAAGGGTTTCTAGTATTAGTATAACATATTCCAGATTAGAAGGGTTTTTAGTATAACATAGTCCAGATCGGAAGGGTTTCCAGTATAACACAGTCCAGATTAGAAGGTTTTCTAGTATTAATATATCATAGTCCAGATTAGAAGGGTTTCCAGTATAACATTGTCCAGATTAGTAGAGTTTCCAGTATAACACAGTCCAGATTAGAAGGGTTTCCAGTATAATATAGTCCAGATTAGAAGGGTTTCCAGTATAACACAGTCCAGATTGGAATGGTTTCCAGAATCATATGGTCCAGATTAGAAGGGTTTCCAGTATAACACAGTCCAGATTAGAAGGTTTTCTAGTATTAGTATAACAGTCCAGATTAGAAGGGTTTCCAGTAAAAGATAGTCCAGATTAGACTGACTAACTGAGTTTGGCTTTCAGCCGCTTTTAGCAATATTCCAGCAACATTACGGCGGGGTCAAGATAAGAAGGGTTTACAGTATAACATTGTCCAGATTAGAAGAGTTTCCAGTATAACACAGTCCAGATTAGAAGGGTTTCCAGAATCATATGGTCCAGATTAGAAGGGTTTCCAGTATAACACAGTCCAGATTAGAAGGTTTTCTAGTATTAGTATAACAGTCCAGATTAGAAGGGTTTCCAGTAAAAGATAGTCCAGATTAGACTGACTGACTGAGTTTGGCTTTCAGCCGCTTTTAGCAATATTCCAGCAACATCACGGCGGGGTCCAGATTAGAAGGGTTTACAGTATAACATTGTCCAGATTAGAAGAGTTTCCAGTATAACACAGTCCAGATTAGAAGGGTTTCCAGTATAACATAGTCCAGATTAGAAGGGTTTCCAGTAAAAGATAGTCCAGATTAGACTGACTGACTGAGTTTGGCTTTACGCCGCTTTAAGCAATATTCCAGCAACATCACTGCGGGGTCCAGATTAGAAGGGTTTACAGTATAACATTGTCCAGATTAGAAGAGTTTCCAGTATAACACAGTCCAGATTAGAAGGGTTTCCAGTATAACATAGTCCAGATTAGAAGGGTTTCCAGTAAAAGATAGTCCAGATTAGACTGACTGACTGAGTTTGGCTTTACGCCGCTTTAAGCAATATTCCAGCAACATCACTGCGGGGTCCAGATTAGAAGGGTTTACAGTATAATATTGTCCAGATTAGAAGAGTTTCCAGTATAACACAGTCCAGATTAGAAGGGTTTCCAGTATAACACAGTCCAGATAGGAAGGGTTTCCAGTATAACATAGTCCAGATTAGAAGGGTTTCCAGTATAACAGTCCAGATTAGAAGGGTTTCCAGTATAACATAGTCCAGATTAGAAGGGTTTCCAGTATAACACAGTCCAGATTAGAAGGATTTCCAGAATCATATGGTCCAGATTAGAAAGGTTTCCAGTATAACATAGTCCAGATTAGAAGGGTTTCCATTATAATGTAGTCCAGACTAGAAGGGTTTCCAGTATTATAGCTGTAGCCCAGTAGTTCAGTGTCTGCTTATCAATCCAGCGACCTGGGTTTGACTCCCCGTGTGGGTATGATGCATGCAAATCTTCACCTTGTTAAATGGTAACCATGTCCGTGTCTCCCAGGCGGCTACACTGGCGACATTCACTCCAACTGCAACCTCACCAACAAGAATGATCTGTTTGAGTACCGCTTCAACAACGGACAGTGGGTGGAGTGGAAATTTGACTTGAAGTAAGTCCCAGTGAT